CACCAATTTTGTTACCAAGTGCGTTGGAAGCTCCATAGAAAACCATAGTCCATCGGGATCCTGGCTCGGGTCCTTCATACGGTCCAGGTTCTTCATAATCTGTTACTAGCATAATATTCTCGTCCAGGAATTGGTAATTCATAGACTGATAGTCGTCTACAACTAGATATGCTAAATGATGTTCCAGTATACTTCCTTTGATAACTTTTTGAGTGGTGTACTGGATGCTGTATTCTGTTAAGACCATTTGCCATCGAGCTATTCTTTCGGAGAGAGGTGGCTTCTCGAATATGTACTTGATGGGATCCATTTTAGAGATCAACAAGGTAGTATGGTTCAACATATATTGTCTTAGTCAGAGAGCAGCCCATGCCAAAGCACGACAAGTTTTCTCGAGCAGTAAATATCTTGTTACACAGTCGGTAAACTTTTTGCTAAGGTATTATATTGCATGCTCTTTTCGACCAGACTCGTCATGCTGCCATAGTACACACCCCGTTGAGTTCTCTAACACTATTAGGTACATGATTAAAGGTCTTCCTTCAACTGGTGGCATCAAAATCGGAGGTTCTTGTAGGTACTCCTTAATTTTATCAAAGGCTATTTGACAATCACCGTTCCATTTTACTACTTGATCTTTCTTAAGTAGCTTGAAGATTGGCTCACAAGTAGCAGTCAAATGAGAAATGAAATGGGAAATGTAATTCAGCCTTCCTAAAAAACCTCTGACTTCCTTCTCAGTATGAGGAGCTGACATCTCTTGAATAGCTTTAATTTTTCCTGGATCAACCTTAATACCTTTACCGCTGATGACGAAACCCATGAGTTTACTGGATCTCACCCCAAAGGTGCACTTGTTCGGGTTTAACCTCAGTTTATACTTCCTCAGTTTTTCAAACAGTTTATACAGATGATCAAGATGCTCTTATTCAGTTTGTGACCTAGTTATCATATCATCGATGTAGACCTCTATCTCGTGGTGAATCATATCATGAAATAAATCTACCATGGAACAATGATAAGTTTCCCTGACGTTCTTTAACCCAAAAGGAATAACCTTGTAACAGAAAGTGCCCCACTGTGTGATGAAGGTAGTTTTCGCCATGTCTTCAGGTGCCATCTTGATCTAATTATAACCCTAGAAACTATCTATGAAGGAGAATACCTTGTGCTGAGAGGTTTTTTCGACCAAGACATCAATATATGGCAGTGGGAAGTCATATTTTGGGATTGCCCTGTTCAGATCCCTGCAATCTACACACATACATACCTTGTCGTCTTTCTTTAGTAACTGAACAACATTAGCAACCCATTGAGGATATGGTGTCACTGCTAAGAACCCTGTGTTGAATTATTTCATGACCTCCGCTTTGATCTTTTCTGATATTTTAGGACGCGTGTGATGAACCTTCTACTTAATCGGAGCACAACCCTCTTTCATTGGAAGACGGTGAACCACAATATAAGTATCGAGCCCTGGCATGTCTTCGTATAACCAAGCAAATATTTCAACATATTCATGCAACATCTGGATTAGCCTGTTCTTAACACTATTTTCTAAGTTGGCGCCGATCTTGACTTCTTTTCTGTCTGTCTCAGAACCCAAGTTCACCACTTCGACCGACTCTTCATGTGGTTGAATAACCTTCTCCTCTTGTATTAAGAGTCTGGAAAGTTCTCCAGGTATTTCGTAGTCTTCCTCACCTTCTTCCTCGGCTTGGTAGATCGGATTTTCAAAGTCATATGCGAAAATAACATAATCGTTATCAACGAGATGCAGAGTGGATGAGGATCTGCAATGTAGTGTGTGGGTGTGTGTAATAACACATAGCTATTTGAAAATGCAATAATATAAAATAAAGACAAAGATCACAAAATTTTCATGCAAAATGTCCAATGTTTTTATTGAATGAGCAATGTTTATGAATTATCAACCCTTAACAAATGGACCATTGTTCCCCAGGTAAGACACAAGGTTTAAAGTCATTGTTTATTACATAACCAATTTTTTTAAAAGCAATAAGACAAGAATATAGCTATTACTCCTGACTAAAAGAGATCGGGAATATGTCTTATGCTTTCCAATTATCAAGCCCATCACCAATGGTAGGGAATATCCAGTTGTTGAAGTCATAATCACTGTGTGCATCCTCTATAGCGTTAACTCTGTTGTTGCTGATACGGAATGGAGATCTCCCAGCACGAGCGTGATGAACAACCCTTTGACCTTCTGCAGTAAAGCCCAAACCAAACTTGTCAGATTTGTAGTGGATATCAGGAAGCTGACCCCAAATAGTACTACCACCTTCTTCTATAGTTGCTTTGGCGTCTTTCAAAGAAGCCATCTCGTGCGGAGTCTTGGTGATCTTCGAAATGGCAGAAACATATTTAACAATAGCAGGGGAATCACTTCAAAGGTATGACATAGATTCTCGATAAATTCTCCGTCTATCTCTACGTATCAGAATGAATTCAAGTGGCTGACCATGTATTCCTCTTCTCCACATACAGTAACAACCTTCCCTTTTATAGGATACTTTAGTTACTGATGCAGGGTGGAGGTAATAGCTCCAGCCCCATGGATCCAGGGGCGTGCCAATTGTAATACCCCAAATTTGTCCTACCCTTCTACTTTTATCTGGTTTACGCATTGTCGCACTTTTCTCATGTACATAACTCCATTAGGTCATTTAACATTGCATACATTCGCTAACAACATAACTTGGCATGGGATCAAAGATTTTGAGGTGTACGGTTTCCCTTTGACTTTAAGAGTCTCACTTTCATTCAAGGCTGATTCATGTTATTTACTTAACAATCTTTGGCTTATGGAGCTAGGGTTTTTGTGTGCATGATTCATCGAGAATTTCTTGCATCGGGATATTATAAGACATCCATCTTTAAGGTCCCTTCAAAAGCATCAAGTGTTTACTACCTTCTCAATGACTCGGATTTAAATGAGAATGCTTTGAATTAAGGGTTTTGTACTTATCTTCATCGTTGCAAGGGTTAGATTCCTGATAGGAGTCTATGAGTTTGAGGATGCTTGGGTGATACTTTGGTTGCTCGGGATACAGGGTACAAGATATGGTTTGTGGATTCAAAACATCATCACTCTGTTAGATATCAGTTACTTATCATGCAAGTTATGTCTTGCTCGAATTTGGAGAGTTAAAATTAGAGGTTCATTGAGAATGCAAGATAACTTGGATTTGAAGTCGATTCAAGTGGTTCCATTATGAAAATTTGGTAAGCATTCGATCATAAGGATGTTTTTTGAAAGCAAGATGCAAAATATAAGGGCTAAGACACAAAGGCATTCGCACAAAGTTCGACATTGTTCAAACTCTTCATCCGTAAATTTCATCATCCTTTATCCAAGTTTATCCAAACTAAATCATTTCCAAATCCATCATTCATCATTATCATTCAACAAAAGCTTATAAGGTTGTGCAAACCTCATTCAAATTTCTCATTATTCATTCGAACATTAAAGAATAATAAACATGGATTTCTGAGTGATGGAAATAAAGTATGGATCTTTTTGTCATGGCAAGCTTCAAACTTGAAGTTCCGTTCGAAATGTTATTCAAGTATCGATAAAATCTTATCCAAATTCATTCAAAGTCCAATTAGAGTCTGAAGCATTTCATTCTAATAAATCATCATATGCCAAGGTCATTCATGATCCAAAAACATTACAAATATACAAATTGAAAGCATGTTAGACATTACAAGTTCAGTTCTAAGCTTATGCTAAACCTAAGCTAAGCCTTATTATTGCTACGATCTTCGAAACTTCGTGTTGATGCCCTCAATAATTGTTGCCTTTCTCCCCATATATTAACTCTATCAAACTTGGCTTTTCATCCTCGCACCATCGAATTCCAAACCTGCAATCAAGAAATGGCTCCAAAACAGCCTGCACAATCCAGAGAAGACACCCTGTTCCAGAAAAATCAGCAGAATGAAACCAACTGTCAAACAGAATAGCTAAAACTCTATAACTACTAGCCAAAACAGAATTTTATAAATTCCCTAAACCATTTTCAAAAAGCAGCCCTGCACATAAAAATCTAACAGCCAACTTTTCTAACTCATTCCTAACTGTAACCAACCTATACCCAATTCCCCAACCAACTTCCTATAACAACTTTTCTTAACTTTCTAACAGATTGATAACTAACTATAACCAAACCAACTAACGGACCCAACCAACCTCTAACTGTTTTATAAACTGACTCAACAAACTCTAACAGAATCATAACCGAATTGGAAAGAAAAGGATATAACAGAAATCAGAATATGGAGAGGAGAGAGGATTTATTATCGGAAATTCACAAAAAAGGATCAAGAACTCACCATAAATTTCTCCCCTCTCTCTTTGCTTCATCTTCTTTTTTTCTGCGAGAACTGTACATTCATCTTCTCTGAACCGCTTCAACAATTCCATCACACTCTTCTTCAATCTTCATCAACCTTTTAATTTCTATGATCTTCATATGTTCATCTTCAACAATAACTGCAACTTCCAATCATCAATCATCATATACATTATCACATTACATCGCTTCATCATTATCTGCATCAACACGTAGCAATCAATAACAATTCATCATCATCTCTAATCATCAACAAAATACATCAACGATTTCTCGACATCAAATGTCGTAGTATTCAGAAGTGTGGAAAATCGAAAGGAGAAGAAATTATATAGAAGAAATAAAAGGTATTCAGATCATACCTGAGTACGCAAGATTCACTGATTTCTCTCCTTCTTCGCCGTCTTCAAAAAGTCACCCGAGCTACTCCGGTAGGTAAACGATTCCTCACCTTTTGCCTCATTCTATATTGCAATATAAAATTCGCGTTGGAATTCAGATCTGGTTAGATTCGGCAGCTTTTTTTTTAATAAGCGTGAATATATGAAGTTGAGTTTGAATCTGTGATGTGATACGCGATGCTCGAAATGATCGAGAGGTGAATGAAAGAAGGACGTATCAATTGATCATAGAAAATGAAACATGGAGTTGAATCGAAGGAGAAAAGGACTGACGAGGCAAGGGGTGATGAGGAAAAACAACGAGATGACGTTGAATCCGCGAGCCATGGAGCTTCGACGATTTGAGATTCCAGCGTCGTTGAAAGGTTGAGGCAACGGAAGAAGAGGGAGCGGCGCCGATTCTGTTTGAGAGGGTGAAGGGACACAAACCTTCAACCTTAACCCCCTTTTCCATTGAGATGTCGCTGGCCTTCTTCCTTTTTTGTTATTTTTATTTTTTTTAATAATAATAATAATAATTGAGATAATAGTGATTCTAATTTTTTGGCTGAATTGGATTGGGTTTTGGGCACAAAAAAAAATCTATTGGACCTCACTTCTACAATGGGCCTAACATCAGCATGCTAAATACACTCCCTGTTCTGATCCGAATCCCCTAGGATTTCTCTAATTTTTTAATTTTGTTCTTAATTTTGTGCAATTAATTTTGATGTTTTATTGCATGATTTCTTGCTGAAATTTGGTGTGGATATTAATACGGTGATTCCCGACTTGTTGATATTTTTAATAAAAAAAATTATTAGCGTATGAATTAATTAAATTAGTGTTTAGTACATGGTTAGAATTAAGATTTTTACGCGTTCTTGTCGATTTTGTATCCTTGATTCAATTTCCTTGGCATGAGGAGTGGTTTGGAGGCAAGTTCTGATCCTTGAATAATGCCACGTTATTTTTGACGCGTTTGTTCATTGTGCGAGGAACTTCTGATTATGCTTTGCATTTGCAATACGCGTTCGCTTTTATCTTAGTTAAATATTGTTTGACTCTGTTTGTTTCTTGGTGAAGCTTGCTCGACGCGTACTCCTTGCTTTTTCAGTGCTTTCGATTCGCTCTTGACGATTTGCTCACTTTGGTAGCCTCCGCTACTACTCTTACACTTCTCTTCATTTTATTGCATTTCGTTATCACTTTATAGAAATCATGAGAAATAGGGCGTTATCATAAACCATATGCATGCCAACATTAGGTAGAATTCCTTTATTCATCCTTGACTTAGGTCTAACAACGCACGATAACACTAGGTTTAGAAATAGGCTAATTCCCCTTTAACTTTGCTTCCCTTTTTGCATACGCATCTAAAACTAAAACTTCTTTTTCTTTTCAAAAGAATTCAAAACACTTTAAAACTATTGATTCGAATCATGCTTTTGCTTAGTACGGGAAATGATAAGCGGGTCTCTTCTCGATCTTATCGTTCTTCATCTCAAGCATATGTAGACTAGTCATTATCTGCAACAAAAATACAAAACAAATTCAAACCATTTCGTGCGCTCGAGCACCTTCTCTCTAAAACCCTTTTCAGGTAAGGACATGATTAATTTACTTTTGTGCCAAAGCATAAGTCTCCAAAGGTCGAGCTGCGACAGAAGGCGGAATTAACTTCGTCCATAAAAAACACAAACAAACAAAAACATATGAGCCGAACTACGGTAGCTCTGATTCCTCAAAATGGATACGTAGGCATTGGGGTAGGGCCCAAGCGAGCACAATTTTATTTTCCCTACATTCTTTTTCCCCTTTCTTTTGCATGCATTCTCCCTTCAGTAGTATAATAAACAGTAAGCATAGATTGAACACACCCATAAGATAGACAACAAGAGTGGATACCATAGAGTACTACAGGCGTGTGGGGTGCTAATACCTTCCCCTCGCATAACAGACTCCCTTACCCTTATCTCTCGGTCGCAAGACCGTGACTTCTCCCTTCTCAGGTTTTCTCGATGTTTACCTTTCCCTACATGTGGAATAAAAGACGTTCGATGGCGACTTCATTGTTTTGATGATTTTCAGCCGGTTGTTTCACCAATAGACAAGAATATGCCAGTCGAATGTCCATTACATAGAAGGTGGACTCAAATATTTGTGAAGCCACTTTGATTGGGAGGTCCACTTCTCCATGCACCATTCTTTTACATTCGTCAAAGGCTCGAACTATGATATTACTGGGCTTCAGCACAACCCCTTCATAATCTAGTCGGTCAAGAGCGCCTTTAGGGATAACATTCAGTGAAGAGCCAGTATCAATTGACACGTGAGCCAACGTAGTGCCCCTGCATTCAATGGAGATGTACATGGACCTATTATGATTTCTCCCCTCCGGAGTCAGGTCAGCATCAGAGAAGCCCAAGCCATTATCAATTGTTAAACTCACCACATAACTTCCAAATTTATTAGCCAAAATTTCTTACGACACATGAGCAGTCTTCAGGAATTTAACTAAAGCATGTGCATGGGCTTCAGAACATAGCAATAATGATAACATGGAGATTTTCGATGGGGTTTTCCCCAGTTGTTTAACAATTTTATAATCGCTTATGCGAATGATTTTCAAAACCTCTTCCAAATCCTGTCCAGAGGTATCTTTGACTGTAGCTTCTTTTGGCACCTCCGTCTGGGCAGGCTCTATCATCGGCTCTTTACCCCGAGCTTCAACAGTTGTCTTGGTAGCTGTAATTTGAGCAGGTGGAGAGATTTTCGGGGAGAAAATTATTCTGCTTCTTGTGATTTTAATGGTCCCCATAATATTCTCAATGTTGGGATCAACCTCGTCATCATCTTCGTCAGATAACTCTTGTTTATGCCATGGTAATAGGCATCAGACCCATAATTCCATGGAATAGCCTTTTCCAAGGAATACGGGATGGACCCAGGTGTTGTAATGATTAATGGAGCAGCTTCTGGATTGGCGGTAATCCTTACAGGACCCATGGTAGTGATCCTAAAAGGAATACTAGATATGATAGACAAATCTTGGCACAAATTTTCAATAGACGAAACTTTTTTAATCAGAATAACATGTTCATTCATCAGGCGCTGAACGCCTTCCTTCAGCAACCCGCTGCCATTGGGTTGGACTTCACAACAATAACATTCTTCGACACAACCCTAAAATAAACCGGCTTGTAATAAGTTCTTCTTGATGGTAGAGAGAGGAGTAACCATATCACTTACAGAGGTAATGTACAACACATATTCAATATCACTTATGCCCTTGTCATGTTTGGGCATAGGTGCAGTAATTACGTTCGGAGTCTCCGGAGGATCGAACTCAATTTCCTTATTATCGATCATATCCTGAATCTTGCTCTTCAAGGCCCAACAATTGTTGGTGTCATGCCCAGGACTGTTCAAATGATAAGCATACCTCGCATTTGGATTATACTTTGGGGAGGAGGTATTGGGATTCTGAGGAGGATCCCGCAGTGAAATGAGTTCAGCCTTCAACAAATGTTGTAATGCCTAAGATAAAGGCATGCTAATTTTGGTAAACTGCCTCGGTGGGGCGTCTGGCCTTCATCGGTTACCCTGTTGTTATTGTTGAACAGGCACCGGATTGGAAATCAACACCGCTCCCACAGATTGATGGTGGTTGCTTTTACTATGGCTCTTCTGGCCATAAACAAAATTATCTTCCTTTTTACCTCCAAATGACTTTTTCACAGCATTAGAAGATGTAGCCATCAGAATCTTCCCACTTTTAATGCCACTTTCCACTCTTTCTCCTGTCAAAATCATCTCCGTAAAACCAGACGAAGAGCTTCCAATCAACAGATTAAAGAACGGGCCTGTCAGAGTGCCCATGAACATATCTACCATTTCCCGATCAGTCAAAGGAGGTTGCACTCTTCCATCTAAATCCCTCCATTTTTGTGTGTATTCCTTGAACCCTTCATTCGAGCCCATGGACATATTCTGCAGTTGCATTCGAGTCGGTGCCAGGTCAGCGTTATATTGATACTGCTTATAAAAAGCAGTAACCAAGTCTTACCATGTGTGAATATTGGTTCCCTCGAGCTGATAGAACCATTCCAGTTGAGTGCCATCAAACTTTCTTGGAAGAAATGGACCCATAACTTTTGGTCAACAGTATGAGGTTGAATCTTTCGGACGTATGACCTCAAATGGAGTTTAGGAAAAGAGACCCCATCATATTTGGAAAAGACGGGGACCTTGAACTTATGTGGGATGACCACCCCCAGAACTAGACCTGATTCACCAAAATTCAATCCATGCATCTTCTGGATTTCCATAGCCTTGAGTCTATCTTCCAACTACTTGTACTTGTCATCCGCAGGAGGGTACTGTTCAACAGAGTAGTCTTCATCTTCATGAGCATTCTCATAACCATGGTTGTTTTTCCCTTCATTCTTTATGCTTCTACTATCTACTTCCTGATTATCATCTTCTTCAGAGGAGACATCATCCACTTGGACTGGTTAAGCATGACCTTTGAACCTTCTCCCCATATTGAGGACAACAACTGGCTTCTTGGTCTTTTTTTTCTTGGCAACGAGCGCCAATAGATCTTTCTGCCCCTGTTCCAGACTCAGAAGAGTCTCTTGGAATTGTGCATGCTGAGCCTGGAGATGCTTGACAGTTTGTTCGAGGGCCATTTTTCTACTGAAATAAACAGCGAGAAAATGAGAAACCTGTATGGAAAACCTGTTATGAAATGATGCATGATATGTAAATGCCAATGTTTTCAAGGACTTCAGGAGATTTAAATTTGCTAGCCAAGAGCAAACAGAAACAAAGACTTTATTAGTAAATTCAAAAATTACAATTGCCTTTTAGGCTTACAAGGAAAACAAAACAGGGTCTCAAAGAGAAAAATGTAAACTCCTAAGACCTAAAACTCAAGTCTCTGATGGACGCTTCCTATTCCTGTTGATGTATGCATTAAGACTCTGCTCCTCGTGAAGTTGCTTGGTGAGCTCCAACACTTTCTTCTCACTTGCATAGAATTTAGTCTCAAAGGTGTCCCGTTCTTCCTTGAGTTGAATCCAGAACTTTTGTAATTATTCAAGGTCAGTAGGCATGTCTGGATGAAGGATGATGCGAGAAACGTCTCCTTCGACAATAGGCTCCATGATCACTGGTAAGATGGCTGGATATGGCATCATGAGGTTTTGAGCGCGAGCTCGTACCCATTTAAGATAAGGCTCCAGAGGGATGGAATTCTTCTTCCTAAAGCCTTACTATCAATCTTGCTTAACATGCCCCAAGCATGTATAAACCTCTAACGATAACCTTGAGGATCATTTCCGTAATCGAATACAATACCCTGGATAAGTGCATCATGAGGACCATCTCTTCGAGCATAACCGAATTGACGTAGAGCCAGAAAAGGGTTGTAAGTGATACCTCCCCTAATTCCAAGGAGTAGAACATTAG